GTAGTCGCTGCCTTCCTTGGGCTAATGACCATTTGTATTTAACACAGTTATTTTGTTTTTGAACTTTATAGAAATAGAATCGTACTGTACAACAATTCTTTCGTGCCTGGCTTCTTTTGTTCAGATGATAGGTGTGAGACTTGTCCATATTGTTGTGTGTTTTTGTTCATTCTCCTTGCTGTATAATATTCTGTTGGGCAAACGTATCAGAACGTATTCATGCATTCTGTTGCTTATGGCCATCTGGGTAGCTCCCGGTTTGCGGGGTATTATGAACAGTGCTGCTGTGAACTCTCTTGGTGCGTCTTTCAGCTCACAGATTCCCATCTGTGTTGGGCAGGTACTGAGGAGCAGAGCTGTAGGGTCACAGGGGATGGCCGTGCTCAGCTCTGGCAGACACTGCCAAGCCACCTGCCAAAGAGGCTCCACCTGTGCACATCCCACCAGCACCATGTGAGCGTTTGGAAAAACGTGGAGGAATTCCAAGACTGGTATTTTCCCTCTTTTTCGTTCTTGCCATTCCCACGAGTGTGCAGAGGTATTGCATTGCGATTTCATCTGCATTTCCCTGATGATCTGATGCTTAGGGACGCTGAACACCTTTTCATATGCTTATTGGTCACTTGGGTGCCTTTTCTTAACCAAGTATTCCTTCAGGTCTTTTGCCCATTTTTCTGTTGGATTGTCTGCCTAATTCTTATTGAGCTTTGGAAGTTTTTCACGTTTTCCAGATCCAAGTCCATTGTGGGACGTATGTATGTCAGTATTTTTCCCATTCACTCACTCACTAGTGTCTTTTGATGAACAGAGGTTCTTCATTTTAATGTAGTAGTACACGTCAATTTTTAGAGTAATATCCTGCACAACAGTTAATGTTTATTGCTTGCTGACTTGTGTCCTCGTATACCTTGCTCATTTAACTTTCACATTGACATATTTTCCAAATGGGAAAAATGAAGCTTAGAGAAGCTAAGAGACTTCCCCAAGTTAGGAAACAGCAGAGGCCAGGTTCTTGTCCAGCCCTGCCCACTCCAGAGCCTGTGTCCTGTGATCTCTGCTGTTCCACAGAAGGCACCAGCTAATATCCACTGTTCAGTCCTCCAGTGCCTTGCGTTTGGGTTGTACATTGTTTTCAGTTAAATTAGTTGCCAACATTTAACAATTAGGAGAAATACAGTTTTCCAGCTTTTTTTTTTTTTCAGAAATTTGTAAGATCTGGTAATACTGGTCTCATCTTCCCACATGTCACCCTGGGCTGCTGGAGATGAGCACCTACTGCTCCCCATAGATGGACATGAGCCCTCTAGTTTTTCGCTGGAGATGCTTTGGTTGGTCCTGCCTGGCCTGCTTCAATCATTCATGTTTCCCGCCTGGCTCCTGGGGGCATCTGAGTTTTCAGCCCTGCTGTCCTGTTTCCCTTAAGTGACATAATTGGCTTTTCATCCTTCTCTGTTTCATCTGTTCTTACCTTCATGCATTCTGACCTTCCTGTCTCCCTTTCCGAGGTATCTAGGCTCTGTGCTCTGGCTTTCTGTCCCCCTCTCCAGCCAGTAGTGTTTTTATGGGTAAACAGAGTAGTCTGCTGCATATGTGGGGCAGTTAGAAGAACACCTCAAAATATTCTTCCCCTTCCTTTAAGAGGTGAAGGCGTTGTATCTCCGTAAAGCTTGGAATGCAAACATTTTCCTGGAAGAAGTGATAAAGTATCCCAGTAGGATTTAATTTATCAGATCGGCTCCGTAAGCAAAAGCCTAAGAGGCAATGGTAGAGAAGATTTGTAGACAGTACAGGTTAGGAGAGTGGTCAGGGAAATCTTACATCTCTGAGTGGCTGGATGCCTCGGATGGGATGCTGCGATGGGAAAGCTTCAGAGCTGGAAAAAAGCGTGAAGACGTTGCTGGGGATGGGGGATGGATGGGTAGCTAGGTGTAGTTCTTTTAGAACTTAGCAAATTTGCCCTGGGCATGTCTCCTGCTCATCCATTTCCTTTCCTTCTCGAAATTCCTCCTAGAAGTCAGTATAAGGTGGACATTAAGAGCTGGAATCTCAAGCTAGACTCACTGAATTTGAATCTTGTCTTTGCTTCTTACTGGCTGTGTGACCTTGCGTTAGTCAACTTTTTGTACTTCAGTTTCCTCATCTATAATTTGAGGATAATAACATACTACCTCTGAGGGTTGTGAGGACTAAAAAATAAGAATATTTGTAGTCTTCTTAGAATGGAGCTTGGCAAATAATTAGCCCCCGATAAACACCAGTCACTGTTGCTGCTGTTGTTACATTGGCACAAGCACCAGACACAGAGGGGTCAGGTGCCAAGAGATCAAATTCTTGCTCTGTCAGGCGCTGGCCACGTGACCTTAGACAAGTCTGTGTGTCCAGGGAGTGTCAGTGTTCTCACCTGGAAAAGATGTTGGGAGAATGAAAAATGAGGTGAAACAAGACAATCGGGATGAAAGCACCAGGGAATTTGTGTTTATTATGTCTCATCTGTCTCCTCCCTTCTCTCTTCCCCTCTCTTCTGCTGGACATGGGTAATAGACTAGTGGAGAAGGTGAGATGAACACCCTTGAAAAAACAACTAGTATTGTCACATTCACTAACACGGAAGAAAAGGACTGTAGTGGTGTCTCTTTTTTTCCCCCCAAGATTGGTAATTTGTGTTTTATCCTTTATTTTCTTGACCAGTCTGACTAAATATTTATCAATTTCATTGATCCTTTCAAACAACCAGCTCTTGGTTTCATTGATTTTTCTCTTTTCAGTTTCATTTATTTCTGTTCCCCCCTTTATTATTTCCTTCCTTCTGTTTGCTTTGGATTTAATTTGTTCTTTTTCTACTTAAAGTGCAAGCTTAGATGATTGATTTAAAGCTTTCTTTTTTAGAATGAATATATGTATATGTATAACTGAATTACTTTGCCGCACACCTGAAAGTAACACAACATTGTAAATCAACTATACTTCAATAAAAGAAATTCTAGACGAACTTAAAAAGAAAACTTTCTTATTTTAATACCAAGTATTCAATGCTATAAATTTCTCTCTGTTACTGGCATTCTAAGTATAATGGCATTCCATGAATTTTGATATGTGTTTTTATTTTCCTCAGTCAAAAATATTTTCTAATTTTCTTTGTGATTTCTTCTTTGACCCATGGGTTATGTAGAAGGATATTGTTTAATTTCCAAATATTTGGGGATTTTTCCAGACAGCTTTCTGCTGTTGATTTCTAGTTTAATTCAGTTGTGGTCACGGTACAACATTTTTATTATTTCAGTTATTTTAAATTTATTAGATTTCCTTAATGATTCACAATATGGTCTATCTTAGTGAATGTGTGTTGCAAAGAACGTATTTTCTGTTGTTGTTTGGTGGAGTGTTGTATAAATGTCAATTCAGTCAAGTTGGTTTGAAGTGTCTTCTGTATCCTTACTGCTTTTTTGTACTTGGTCTGTCAACTACTGAAGGGAAGTGTTGAAATCTCTAATTTATACTGGAGGATTTGTGTGTTTATCCTTTCAGTTCTATCAGTTTTTATTGCATGCATTTTGATCTATGCATCTGACACATGTATTTTACTGTATGTGCTTTGGATTATTAGGCCTTCTTAATGAAGTGACCATTTTATCATTGTTTGATGTCCCTTTTTATATCTGGTAATGTTCTTTGTTCTGAAGATTATTTTGTTTGTATCAGCTTTCTTTTGATTAGTGTTGGCATGGTATATCTTTTTCCAGTCCTTTACATTTTTTCTATATATGCCTTTATATTTTAAGTGGGTTTCTTGTACATTTATATTTAATGTAATCATTAACGTATTTGCTTTTTTTTTTTTTTTTTTTTTGTGGTACGCGGGACTCTCACTGCTGTGGCCTCTCCCGCTGCGGAGCACAGGCTCCAGACGCGCAGGCTCAGCGGCCATGGCTCACGGGCCCAGCCGCTCCGCGGCATGTGGGATCTTCCCAGACCGGGGCACGAACCCGTGTCCCCTGCATCGGCAGGCGGCCTCTCAACCACTGCGCCACCAGGGAAGCCCTCACGAAAAGTTTTGATTTAACAGATTTTTGTTGTTAGGGTGGAAGCTACATTTCCTGGCAGTGTCTTTATCCTAAGTGGAAGCAGCATTCTGGTGGTGGATACATAGATTTTATTTGTTCCTCTTATTCTCTAGTCCTTCCATCAACGGGTGGGCTGTTCCCTCCTGTGGTTTATATCGGAGGCTCGTGAGAAATAGAATATACGTCTCCTCTGTGGGTTGTATTTTCTCGTCAGGCATCCATAATCAATATTCATCTAAGGAAAAAGGAAAACCCCGTTTTAGAGGCTTTATGTGGTCATTTACTAACTTTATGAAGCGGGGAACAAAAAGATACGGGTTCGTACCTTTTCTTTTTAAAAGAAATCATTTTTTATTTTAGAAGTAATTCATGAACAAAATAGAGTTAAAAATGCAGAAAGATAAAAAAAAAATAAAGAAATAAAAACCACCCATAATCCCATCAGCTAAAGAAACCATGACTCATATTTTATCGAATTTCTTCTAGTCATTTTTCTATGAGTGCATCTTTGTTCGTCTGTATATATCAGTATACATGCCCCCCAATTTGTGTGTTTTGTGTAAATAAGCTAGTTTCAAAAAGGTGTGTTTTTCTGTGGGTTGAGTACTGTGGCACTCATGAAATGCCGATATGTTATTCATGTTTGTCTGGTAAAGATGCCAAAACGTGTGGCATTTTTTTTCAGTTTGCTGTTAGTGCTGGATTCCTTCCTGCAGCTACTTTACACGAACAGCCAGGACAGGTGTGTATATGTGATTCTAATGGAATGTGATTCATTTCAGAAAAGACAAGTTGTTGATTCCTTGTGCTGAGGTCCCCTGTTCCCCATGTAACTTCTGTCCCTTTCCATTTCTTTCAACCCATTCTCAGGTTTAGAGCAAACAGAAAGAAGGAAACTCTATGGTCTTCTCAGTACGTTTTGTTTTCTTCCTTTTCCAGAAAGTATTTTGGAGAAAAAATTGGACTGTACTTTGCCTGGCTGGGATTATATACATCCTTCCTCATCCCGTCATCCGTCATCGGGGTCATCGTGTTTCTTTATGGATGTGCAACGATCGAAGAAGATATTCCCAGGTGAGTTGGTTTTAACGGAAAAGGCTCAGTTCTCACGTGTCAGTCGTTTGGAGTTTCACCCCAGTTGCACGTACATTGTACATTTCAGACGCCTCCTTCCGAAGCCTCACCCTTTGTCCTTCTCCTTCCCGCTTTCCTTACCATGCAGCAGGTCACTTGTCACTGCCCTCTTGAGAGGTCTGGGAGCAACAGATTCTGGGAACAGCTCAGAGCCACGCTGGGTGTGGCCACTTCCTTTCCTGGTCAAGCTCTTCTCCAGGACCAGCGTCTGATTGGGCAGGGTCTGAAAACTGATGAAAAAGAAATCATGCCTGAGAAAAGCTTTTTTTTTTCCCCTCAATTTCATGACTTTTTCCCTTTGGTTTCCCAGATGACCCAAGGCAGGAAGTGTTCAGTGGTATTGGATAGAGATGGCATCTATGTGGTCAAACGCTGCTGGGATAAAAAGCTGTGAGGCTGTGTGCAGAAGCAGGCAGCTCTGGAGCTGAGGAAGCCTCAGCTCTGGCTCAGGATGTCAGAGACTGCAGGAGGTGACAGGCCCTGTAGCGGGACTCTTGGCGATCCAAGACATGGAACAAAGGTTGATCCTGATGGAGAAGAGAGATCCTACAAGAAAATAGGGACTTAAAAAGAGCATCCTTTAGGGCTGAATGTGTTACATAGTAGCTACGTGACTGGGTACCTCACTCCCTGACTCTTGGTTTCCATGGCTGTGAAATGGTCATAATAACGCCTACTTCATGGTGGTGTTGTGAGGACTAAAGTAGACAGCGTCTGGCACACGGCAAAGTATTCATAAATTATTGTTGAATCAATCAATATATGTGGAAATAGAGTTTGAGACACTTAACCAATATTTAGAATTTAAATCTCTTGCCATCTCCAGAACTGGCTTTGCAAACGGAAGCATTCTTTATGCATTTTACTTTTTTTTTTGGCCATGCCTCGAGCCATGCGGGATCTTAGTTCCCCGACCAGGGACTGAACCCGGGCCGTCTGCAGTGGAAGCGGGGAGTCTTAACCACTGGACTGCCAGGGAATTCCCTCATTTGTGTATTTTAATACTCTTTCAGTTGCAAGTGATAGAAATGCATGTGAACTAACGTACGCAGATAAAGGGAATTTATCCTCAGGGTTTCGGGGGGCCCTCAGGGGACCCAGTGGCAGGCACGTGGCTACCCCAAGGGACTATGGAAATAGGGACTCCTTCTGTTTACTGCCCGTCTCTGATTATTTCTAGTATTTATTTGTTTCACTGCAGAGTTTCTCCATTGGATGTAAACACTGCTGCTTGTAGCTCACGGGTGTCATACCTGAGAGCTTTATACTCGATTGGTCCCAAGTGAAGAAGTCCTGTTGACTCTTTTTGGCTTAGGTAGAGGCTCTGGGTCAACCAGTTGTGGCTTGGGGGCAGTAGCCCGGGGAATGGGGACACTGGGCAGCCTGTGGGTGTCCACGACAGGTGGGGTTAGGGATGGGGGAAGTCGGGGCCACCCTGAAGAAATGGGCAAGAGCCCATTTTCCTCTTTGAGGAAAGCGTATCCACCAGTGGCAGGAACCAGGTGATCTTCCATTATGTCACTCTATAGAAAAGCTCTTGCAGGTTAGGGGCACTGGAGATGGCCATGTCAGTAGTTAGAATAAAGCTCAATACCTTGGTATGAGAGACAAGGGTTTGGATATGTTTGTGTATAAAAACTGTGGTGTCATCCGTTCAGGGTTCGGGACTGGCATTCTGTGAGCTTTGTCACAGGACCTATGTCTTCCGGGCTCTGCCTCGTGCAGCACGAGGGAAGAACGAGTACTTACCAAATTCCTGGTCTTAGTTGTACCAGGCATGGTGCTAGGTGGTTTCTGTGTTTTGTTTCTTTGATCCTGTAGAGATCAGTGTTGTCAATAGGTATTCTCACCTCAGAGAGATGGAGACGTGGATGCTACCTGAGGTCGCTTGTCCAACTTCAGCAATTAATAATTGTCAGGGTTGGGATTTGAGTTCCACCTGCTCCAAGGTCTTTGCTTTTTCCAGTAAGCGGTGCAGTTTTCCTGAGGGCTCTTACCCTCCTCTGCAGCCCAGTTGCTCCAACTGGCCCCAGCTGGTTCAGTCTCAGAAAAAAACCTGGCTCAGTTGCCCGGTTGTGATCCCTGGGGAGCTGGGCCTCAGGTTGATCCAAGCTGAGGACTCCATACCATGCACCTCGAGCCAACTCAGTGCAGCGGGTAGGGCATCTGTGTGCTGGTTTACGTCAGGACTTAGAACTTGTGCCCTGGTTCTCCACACGGGAATGCATGTGACGGTGACCACTGCGGCTGGAAATGACCATGGTCTACACAAGCTGCAAAGTCATTTATTTATGCACATGCATGGACACTCATGTGCGTGCGGGTTTAGATGCGTGTAAAACGTGATCATCATCATTGCAGACATCCTGGAGTGTGTGACGTTTTACGAACTGTGGATAGCAGCCCATTAATGGATTATAGAATCAATGTAATCGTTACCTTTTAAATGAACTAGAATAAGGTAGGACAGAGTAGAATGAAACATAATATTAGTAGTCATCACGAGAAGGAAGTATCAGAATTGTTTCATGACAGTTATTTTAGTGATACAAGTGTTTTTGTGGGGAGCGGGTACGTATATACTCGCATACTGGAATCTGTGGTAAATTTTTTTTAAACTGTTTTTTTAACTTTCTGTAACAAAAAAGTTTGAAATTGGCTGTTATAAAACTTGAAAGTTTGGTTGCCAGTTTTTCAGAGTGGGGGGGGGCAAATCAAGAAGGTGGAAATAGAAAAAGCTAAGCACACTATAAAGATGTTTTTGAGAACTGCTCCTTAATCACGACTGTATGTCTATCAAAAGCCCGAGCTCTACGCCCGGCAAAAACTCACAAACTCCCAATCCTCATTAACAGAGGAATAGCCTCTACGTCCCAATACTGAATCCAAACGAATTCGTACTCTTCTAGGGTCTGTGTCTACCAGCCACTCCTAAGCGTGATTAAAAACTTGCACTCTTCCTGGGATTATTATAAAGGTTTCTGATTTTGGCATTAAGCCTGGAATTTAGTATCTGTGTATCACTTTAAAAAAAGCTTTATTTTGAAAACAGTATAGATTCACAGGAAGTGGTAAAGATAGTGCAGAGGGCCCAGGGCACCCTTCATCCAGTTACCGCCAGTGATTATGTCTTATATAACTACAGTACAGTATCAAAACCAGAAAATTTACATCACGTGGAACTTTAAATGGTACCTTTTATCGCCAAGAACTTTGATATGTGAGACACAAGCGTCACTTGTAAATAATAATTCCATATGTGCACGACACATCTATAGAACCTTCCTTGACTTAGCAAGGGGTTGGTTGCATTTGTTCTCCATTTGCTTACACGCCTAGGAAAGACTGGAGCATTTTTTTAAAGCTAATTAATCTAAACCATATTTTCAAAAATTGGTTAGTTTAGACCTGAGACCTTAATAGCAGATGTTCTATCTGAACTTCCTGAATAATTGCCTCCCTTTGTGGCTAGTACAGCTCTGTGTCGCCTGACCTGTGAGCAGTGGGTCACTCTTTGAGGACACCACCCACTCTGGGGTCTTGGTTCACCTGATGGTCAGCCCATTCATCAACCTTCTTCTGCTTCGTAGAGAAAACGATAGATTGAAGAAATACACCATTGCATTTACAGCCACTGTTACTTCGAACTAGGAACCTGTGGTGAATGCAGCCAGTGAATGACCCAGACCTGACTTCAGTTCTAGGGGAGGTTCCCCCATCTTTCAGCTTGTCTAGAGGCAGCCTCTTTCAGAGACTACAGAGTCCTTTTAATGTCATCCTAAGGCAGAATTTCTCCAGAATTCTGTTCAAATTGCTTGCATCAAAAAACCCAAAAGATGAAACAAAAAACCCCAACCCAATACACGTAGAGCATTCTGACTTCAAACTTAAAAGATGTGATGAGTGTCCATGTACCATGGCTGCCATTTTGTACAAATGATTGGCAGTTGACTGTGTTCTAATTTTAAAACCAGTAATGTACACAGCCCGTAAGTTTCAAAGTGTGCCAAGTTGGTGGCTAATACTTTTTTACTCCTGACCTTTTAGCATTGACTAGTTTTTTTTTTTTTTTTGCTTTTTTGCGGTACGCGGGCCTCTCACTGCTGTGGCCTCTCCCGTTGCGGAGCACAGGCTCCGGACGCGCAGGCTCAGCGGCCATGGCTCACGGGCGCAGCCGCTCCGCGGCACGTGGGATCTTCCCGGACCGGGGCACGAACCCGTGTCCCCTGCATCGGCAGGCGGACTCTCAACCACTGCACCACCAGGGAAGCCCAGCATTAACTAGTTTTGATTGAGATTAGGTGTTCTAGGATTCTACGCCCTTATATGTGTAAAAAAAAAAAACCCTCCGCAGCAAAGATATGAGAAGGACTCATGTCTTCTCAGAAATGGCTTAGAAGCAAAGCTCTTTACTAGACTTTGTGCAGACCCACTGTTTTCCACGTGAGTCTGTTTTCTAAGAGGTGCTCTCCTCTCCAAGAGCAGCAACTCCTCCACCAGGCAGCCAACATGTGTCTGACCCAGAAGACTTAAAATGAACCTTACTCTCCGGTTACCAACAAGCGCATGCCCAGGTGAAGCTAGCACGGCTGAACTTATTATTAAGAAATTACTATTTAATGTTGTCTATGTGAGCGAGTCGCCGCTCTTGACACTTGCCAATGGAAAGTCAGTGGAGGAACTGGGATTTATCCCCGGAGACGTAGAGTTTCCATTCTCTCACACAGAAGGCCTTCCCTGCCGTGGCTCATTAAAAACAAGCCTGAAAGCTGGGACTTGACAGACAGTGACAGCCCTCGGTGAAACCTTTCGACTGCTTAGCGATGGGGAGCTGGACGCAGGCATCCTGCCGGCTTCTGGGTTTCATCTAATCCCGGGCTTCAGCATCCAGGTACCAGCTCCCTCCGCCGGCAGTGGCCTCCGACTGTACCGTGCTCGGTAGCGCCCTCTGCTGCCTGTTTGCGGAGGAAACCCAGCTGTGGTTTCAGCCTGGGGTCCCCTGCGGCCCCATCACCGTGGCTCCAGCTGCTCTGTGAGAACAGCCAGTGCTTCATTTTCATGAAATTGCCAGTTCTCCACCCTTTTTCCCAAAACCACGGGCTTAGCCATGTGCCCATCCCCCGGGGGGAATATGGCACACCAGAGTGATGAGTTAATTCATTCTCCTACCAGAATGTACTGTGGAGGGTTACTGGGGAAGCCAGTTAGGGCCGAGAACACTTCGGTCCTTATCTGCAAGCACTCTGATGAGCCTAAATTAATTGGGTCCAGCTAACCGCCTAACGAATGAATGGAATTTCAAATACATTCATGAGTCCTGTAACAGAAATACACTGAAAATAGGTGAGAATATAGGTGATGGTTATTTGACTAGTTTGTTCTCCAAGTACCTTGGAATCTAGACTTTGGAAGAATTTACCTTATTCTTCTGGCCTCCCTCATCCCATTTCATGGTTACGATAATTCTTTTCTTTTTCTTAAAAAAATTTCTTTTCTATTTTTTAGAATTTTTATTGGAGTATAGTTGCTTTACAATGTTGTGTTAGTTCCTGCTATACAGCAAAGTGAATCAGCTATACTTACACATACATCCCCTCTTCCTTGGATTTCCTTTCCATTTAGGTCATCACAGAGCATTGAGTAGAGTTCCCTGTGCTATACAGCAGGTTCTCATTAGTTATCTGTTTTATACATAATGTCAATAGTGTATATACGTCAATCCTAATCTCCCAACTCATCCCCCCCCCCCCCCCCCTTTCCCCCTTGGTATCCATACATTTGTTCTCTAGGTCTGTGATAATTCTTATTAAGTTGAGGTTACTAATTCCCTTTCTACAAACGGTCACACGGCTGATGCACTTAGAAATGGGCTTCCAGCCACCTGACTCCATTCTTTTTCACATGGCTTCTCCTTCCAGAGGAAGGAATTGTGTTTGTTCAGCTGCACACTCGTGTTTGTTCCTCTGTGTGACCAGCCTTACTCACTGATGAGACAGCCCATGCTTGAATGAGAGCAATGGAATCTAGCCTCCGATGGGTGATTTATTCACAATTGTTGATGCGCCCCACCAGCCCCGTAGACTCAGCACATTTTGAATGGACTTTATGTGGCATTGTCCAATGAACAGCATCTCTGATAGATGGTCATTAACTTTCTGTTGGGCCACTTTTAGTGACAGGGGGCTCCATATCTCCAAAGGTAGCCCATTCATTTTTTAAGACAAGATATAAGAGTAACACTTCCGAAGGGAAGAACCCAATTCCAACTCTCTAACACACCTCGCTGTTGGAGTTGATAAGCTCAACCAGGGATTCGGAAGTGGGAGCTGTTTTGGGGGTGATGGGCTTGGGAAGGGTCCTGCTGGAGCCCCCCTGACCCAGCAGCCTCTGTCTTCTGCAGCAAAGAGATGTGTGACCAACAGAATGCCTTCACCATGTGTCCCCTGTGTGACAAGTCCTGTGACTACTGGAACCTCAGCTCAGCCTGTGGAACGGCGCAGGCCAGCCACCTGTTTGACAACCCTGCCACTGTCTTCTTCTCCATCTTCATGGCTCTGTGGGGTAAGTTGTCACCATGAGGCTTGCTTCTATGGGGGGTACCTTTAAATGGGCACAGTGACCAAGCTCTAAAGCCCATATCCTTCGGTTTACTTCCTTAGTATTTGGGGTTTTTTTGGTTTTCTTTTTTTTCTTTTGGCGGTACGCGGGCCCCTCACTGTTGTGGCCTCTCCCGTTGCGGAGCACAGGCTCCGGA